CATCTCTCCAATGCCTGTATATTTTTCCTTGGAAAAGGGGCCCAAAATTGTTCACAGTATTTCAGCTGTGGTCTGATTACTGTTTTGAATAGTTTTAGCAAAACCTCCGTACTTTTACACTTCATTCCCTTTGAAAAAGAAGCCGACATTCCATTTGTCTTCCCCGCTGAGCTTAGATGCTAGCTGTTTTGTGATTCATGCAGGAGAACTCCCAAATCCCTTTGTTTCGTAGCTTTCTGCAGTCTTTCTCCATTTCAATAATATTTCGCTCCTCCATTCTTCCTGCCAAAGTCCATACCTCACATTTTCCCACGATATATTCCATTATGTCATAGATTCATCAGTAAAATTTAGGGCTCATCTATTCCAGTGCACTAAATTTTTAAAGACACAATTAATCTTGATCATTGTCAAGAAGCTGGCTGTACTAAAAATTAATTTTTTATGTTTGTGGATCTCATTCTAGATGAGAAAAAGATTTTCTAAAAAGCTGAAATGAAATTGGAGGAGACTTGTTTGGAATTAGGGGTGGCACGGTGGCTCACTGGTTAGCATTGCAGCCTTACAACACCAGGGACCAGATGCAATTCCACCCTCGGGCGACTGTCTGTGTGGAATTTGCACATCCTCCGCATGTCTGCGTGGGTTTCCGCCGGGTGCTCCAGTTTCCTCCCACAGTCCAAAGATGTGCAGGTTAGGTAGATCGGCCATGCTAAATTGCCTAGTGTCTAGGGGTGTGTAAATTAGATGGATTAGCCAAGGGAAATGCAGGGTTACAGAGAAAGGGAAGGGGGTTGGGGATGGATCTGGGTGGGATACTCTTGGGATGCGGTCGGGGGAGGGGAGATTTTGAAGCCAGGCCCCAAGAAGACTTTCCACATCAAGCAGATGTTCACCTGCACATCTGCCAATGTGGTATACTGCATCCGCTGTACACACTGTGGCCTCCTCTACATCAGGGAAACCAAGCGGAGGCTCGGGGACCGCTTTGCAGAACACCTACGCTCGGTTCGCAATAAACAACTGCACCTCCCAGTCGCGAACCATTTCAACTCCCCCTCCCATTCCTCAGACGACATGTCCATCCTGGGCCTCCTGCAGTGCCACAACGATGCCACCCGAAGGTTGCAGGAACAGCAACTCATATTCCGCTTGGGAACCCTGCAGCCCAATGGTATCAACGTGGATTTCACAAGCTTCAAAATCTCCCCTCCCCCTACCGCATCCCAAAACCAGTCCAGCTCATCCCCGCCTCCCTAACCTGTTCTTCCTCCCACCTATCCCCTCCTCCCACCTCAAGCCACACCCCCATTTCCTACCTACTAACCTCATCCAGCCCCCTTGACCTGTCCGTCCTCCCTGGACTGACCTATCTCCTCCCTAACTCCCCACCTACACTCACCCTTACTGGCTCCATCCCTGCCTCTTCGACCTGTCTGTCTCCTCTCCACCTATCCTCTCCTCTATCCATCTTCTATCCACCTCCCCCTCTCTCCCTATTTATTTCAGAACCCCCTTCCCTTCCCCCATTTCTGATGAAGGGTCCAGGCCCAAAACGTCAGCCTTCCTGCTCCTATGATGCTGCTTGGCCTGCTGTGTTCATCCAGCCCTGCACCTTGTTATCTCGGATTCTCCAGCATCTGCAGTTCCTACTGTCTTTGAATCCATGCTACTGGCATCACTCTGTAAACACTAGCCATCCAGCCAACTGAACTAACCGACCCCGAAGGATCTCTATGAGCACCCATATAATGAACAAAAAAATGAAATTGCACATTTTAAAATTTCACATTAAATGGAACTACATTGTTCTACTATGCAATGCAGTTTGTTTCACGAGAAGTGATGGCAATTTGCATTGAGAATTTGCAAAATTCATTAAGGGGAAAATGATAGACAATGGAAAGGAAGCTTAGCCCAGCAGAAGCTGGAAACCCAGGACTCTCATCCACCAGGGAGGTGGAGGCGTGTGCAATAAGGCAATGCATTTTACAAGTGTCTAAATTCAAATTGTCGGAGCAATATAGAACAATTTTTTCATAATTTAAATTTGATATCAGAATTTAATCAACCGTATATTTAGTTTTTTTTGAAGAAAAGAACATTTCACTTATTCAAGTGAAAGTCAGCAAAAACTTTAATCAATGAAGATTAATCTCAACTATTGTGCTACTTCTGTTTCTCCAGGAAGGGTCAAATGTGTATAAGGCTTTCCTATCATACATTTCAAGAACACTAAATTTGTTCAGAGCATTTAGTCAACATAGTTCTACAGATGCAGTCCAACAAATCTAGTTTACGATAAGTCCAAAAACACAATATTAGAAACACTTCACTTCTCACAAGGCTTTAGTGCATGTGCACTGTATATCCTAAAATCAGTAAGCAGGAAGACCTGTATAACATTTCAGTACAGTCAGAGTTAAACTGCAAGAATTAGGAATATTCAGGTAAAACAAATAATGGCAAATTTAGGTTATCTGAACCAGAAAACAACAAAACCAGAGTCTGAGTTCCGAAAGTATCACAGTTCAAATGCAAGACTACACAGTTTCTGGGGTAGACTGTGCATTTCTGCAGATATGAACTGGGTACAATATTATTAGGTTCAAAGATAGCCCTCAAAAAGATTGAACAGTTTAAGTAAAAATAAAACAGCCTTTTTGTCTAAATTATGAGTCTCTAAGTTTAATGGAAACAAGGAATTTCAACAGAAGCCAGATAATTCTTCAGGCTACTTAACTTTTTCAAATCTGATTCTCTTTTTCAGAACATTAACCTTGACAGAGCGTACAAATCAGACTCAAAGATGTTCAAATGTCAGATCCATGATTACAATGGTGTATTTTTAACACTTTTTATATCCTCAAACATAGCAAGTTCTGGAAGATTCAACATATTTCAACAGTAAAATGAGCTTAAGCAACATTCATCCAATGTTCACCCAATTTGTTTTTCAGTTTTATGAAACGTTTTATTTAGGGCCATTCACAGCTGAGAACTTCACGACCCAAGTACAGACAAGAGAAAATTACCTTCCACTTCTACAAACATTATTCAAAAATAATCAGCCTTTTCAACTTTTACATAAGTAAGAAATAGAAGATTCCTTCGCTTTCTTCCAAAAATGATAACAATTGCTAATGGACTCAAGAACCCAATGGATAACACAATTAACCCAAAGTAAAGCTAATAGTAATTTTGAACAATGATAAACAAAAGCCAAAAATGTGTTTGCTCATCCATTTTCATTGTTACCCAGCAAAATTTCCAAACAGAAACACATCAATAGCTGCTCAAAATCTTCTGCAAGTTAGGCTTGCGGCTGGACAAGAAACCGTGCAGATTCAACTAGAAGGGTCAGTGATTCAGATCAGTCCTAAAATAACGGCATTACTAGTTGACGTTTAAATTATTCCCACACTAAAAAAAATTCTTAAAAACAAAACATAAAAAAAGAATAACAACTACTAGTTAGACTGAAGTGCGCTGCACCTCCCACTACAATCTTAAAATCCACACTGACCTCTAACTTTTGAAAATGTTTCATTTTGTCACAATTCCCACTTTGTAAAGAGACTGACTCCTTGATCATCATCTTGCTTCTCGGACCACTCCATACATGCCTTTCTCCTCACCTCCCAGATGTGTACACAACGTCAGCAGTTTCTACAAAAAGTTCTTACATTCAACACAAAATGATGATTTTAAAGAATCTATGCTCCCTTTCTGGGACAAGAACCAAATAGCCCTTGTGTAATGCTCTTCTCCTTCCAGAAATTTCCTGACCTGTTGTGTATGTCCAATATCTTTTTTTAATATTTCTGATTTTTAACAATCACAGTATTCTTTAACCTACAATTCTCATTGTCCTGCTCTTGCCCTACTGTACTTCTCGTCTCCATTCCACATTTGAAATCAGTGGTCTAAGTTTCTTCGCGGAAATCATGAGACTCTTCATCATCCATCTTTACACATTTTCAATAATCCATCTTGTCTTCCTTCAAATCTTCATTTTACACCATATTATTCAGAGCTTGTTTTATACCCCCTTTATCTCCCCATTCCACCATTTATTTGTGTTCTTTTCTCCATCAATCCTCCTCCTGTTCTCACTTCAAAATTATATTTCTATTTCACCGCACTCTGTCTTCCATTAGTTTGTCACTTCTCTCACTCCAATTTAGACTTGGTCCCTCCAAGTATCCAATTCTTCATCTTCCATCACTCAGCTATATGTGAAATCTCTTTCAATGCATTAGCCACTTTAGTACTGAACCTCAGAAGTCAAAATATCACAGTTTCAATTCTCTGTGGCTCTCTCAAGCCAGCTTTTGGAATTGGTTAGAAAATCTGGGCTAGTGAGGTCAATATAAAAATCAACCCATCACGATAGAGAGACCTGCTGAAAATTGAGTATGCGACTATCTGATCAGAATCATTGGGTTGGTGCTTGTTGATACCACCTGGAGTTTCATATGATCGTTAGCCACGAAAGATGAATTCCAAAGTTATCCCAACTCATGAACTCTCTTGCATCCCTCTCTACCACTCGCCCCCTCTCCTCCACCTTAACAGGCTGATGTCCCCTCCATTTCTTATATTCCCATCCGTGTACATTCAAGTTTCCCATTCTCCTTTACCTACTCTGTCCATTTCAATTGTTTTCTTTATTCCGCGACTACTTCTGTCTATTCAATTCTTCCATACTTTCCACGCCATCCCCCGCCCCCATCACCGTGGGCATCTTCGTCATTCTTTCAATGTAGCCTCCGATTCCCTTTTCGCTACCAGTTCTCCGCTCCTTCCCCACCCCTCTAATGTTTCTTCCTAATCTCTTCCATTTCCTCGTATAGCTTTCATTTCCCAAATTTTCCCCAATCCCTTTTCGTGCTGCCTGTGCCACATTATGCGTGCGGGTGTGGGCCCGGACTCCGGGCCCAGCCCAACCCCGGGCTCCCGGGAGCCAGGCTGCAGTCCCGCGTCTCCCATTTACTCACCAGATCGGAAAAACGCGGCGATGTCGGCGTCCCCGGCCGGGTCCTCCGCCCCCTCTGCAGAGCTCATGTCCGCGGCAGTGGCCTCCTCCCTCAGACTGTCCGGTTACAATCCTCCAGCAGAGCGGAGATGCGGATCCTAATCCTGACTGGCAACCACCAAGCGGAGGAAGGGAGGGAGCGAGCAGCAAAATGCTGCCACCTCTACCAGCTCTCCTCCATCTTGGAGCCGTGAATCACCGTCCGGAAAACATCGACAAACCTCGGCAACTTCCGGAATTCCAGCCATCCCAAGGTCACTGCTTCAACAGCCGGATGGAGCCGACAAGCATTAGCGGCAATCCTAAAACAGCACCCACCACGCAATGTGCAAATCCCAAGATGCGCCAAGAGATAGAGATACAAACATAAACAGTTATATGAATTGATCCTTATGCATATGTAGGGAGATACGAATTTCAGGTGGAAGGCATACACCGAGGCAAGAAGAGGTTAAAATTCTCGAATGCAATACAGCACATGATCAGTGAGCAAAGATATAGTATAAGCGCATTGAGAGCATTCGACAGAAATCGAAATTCCTCGAATTCGAAAACACTCACAATAAGTAAAGTCACAACTACGGAAATATAAATATGAACACATAATGTATGAACTGTTGTATTGCAACAGAAATAACTCATTCTCAAATTTTCATATTCAAAATGTATCTAAGAGCTGAACAAATGTCACATGGAAAAACATGAAAATATACACAACTTTACGAACTGGGTATATTCACTTTAAACGTGCATATGAAGATGCACCGACAAAATATAACTTTAAATATTGCCTACATTCATAACATTGTACATTTATATCATAAATATACAAACCAAACCGTATAAGATTTGGAGCTTTTTAATACCACATTCACTTGCAGTTTATTGGCAGATATAAGAGAAACAAGGCAAACACAATACGTGCATGAAATGCATTTATATTATAGGAATACAATTATGCTTAAACACAAATTGTAAAACGACTAGCAAATGTTCACTAAAGTAAAACAAATAAAACTTTTTTTTGTCACTTATATAAATGGATGTGAATATAGGAGGTATTGTTAGTAAGTTTCCAGATGACACCAAAATTGATGGTTTAGTGGACATTGAATGAGATTACCTCAGAGTATAACAATACCTTGATCAGATGGGTGGATAGGCCAAGCAGTGGCAAATGGAGTTTAACCTACATCAATGTGAAGTGCTACATTTTGGTAGAGCAAATCAGAGCAGGACTTATACACTAATGGTAAGGTCTTGGGGTGCGGGTTCATTGCTCCTTAGAAGAGGAATCACAGGTAGGCAGGGTAGTGTCGAAAGCATTTGGTATGCTTGCCTTTCTTGGTCAGTGCTGTTGTGGCTGTACAGGACATTGGTTAGTCTGCTTTTAGAACATTGCATTAAATTCTAGTTTCCCTGCTATGGGAAAGATTTTGTGAAACTTGAAAGGATTCAGAAAAGATTTACAAGGATGTTGCCAGGGTTGGAGAATTTGAGCTCTCGGGAGAGACTGAAAAGCCTGGGGCTGTTTTCTCTGCAGTATCAGAGGACGAGGGGGTGACATTACAGAAGTTTATAAAATCCTGAGGAGCATGGATTGGTTAAAGACTCAAGGTCTTTTCCCCAGGGTAGAGGAGTCCAAAACTAGACAGCATAGGTTTAAGGTGAGAGGGGAACGATTTAAAAGGAACCCAAGGGGCATCTTTTTCATGCAGAGGGAGGTGCATATCTTGAATGGGCTCCCAGAGGAAGCAATGTAGGCTGGTACAATTACAAGACATTTAAAAGGCATCGAGATGGGTATATGAATAGGAAGAGTTTAGAGGGACAATGGGACAAATGCTGGCAAAGGGGACTAGATAAATTTAGGATATGTAGTTGGCATGGGGATGAGTTGGACCAAAGGGTCTGTTTCTGCACTATACATCTCTATGACTCTAAATAACTGCAAAAACAGAAAATGACTGAACATACTCAGCAGGTCTGGCAGCATCTGTGGAGAGAAAGCAGCATTAAAGCTTTGGTCAAGTGATCCTTCCACAGAATCTGGATTATCTGCACTGAGCCAAATGGGACTCTTGTGCTGTGGTGATACTGTCCCTATCTCTGACCTAGGAGACTTGGGTTCAAGTCCCACCTGCTCCAGAGGTGTACATTGACATTTTTAAGAGATTGTTTAGAAAATATCTGAAGGATGAAACAATTTCATAACTTGTAAAATAACACTGCATAGAAAAAAAAACAGCCATGAACAATGAGGGATATAAGTAACAGCATAAAACTAGAAGAAAGACCTTGCAAAAAACGATACGGATTCTGCCAAATAGGAAATATGCAAAAGGGCCATAAAACAGCTTATAAGAGCTACTGAAAGGGATTATGAAAGAAAACTTGCTTCAAATCAATAGGAAAAATTTTATAGTTACACAAAGGGAAAGCAGGTGGTCATGAGCAATGTTGGTCCACCAAAGCCTGAAAGTGGGAATTTTGTCAAGTACCATAGGGAAATGGCAGACATGTTGAATGGTTACTTTTCCTCAGTATCTACAATAAAAAAGGAGGATAGCTTTACAGAAGTTGCAAGGAAATTAACAGTGGATCAGGGTCAGGAATTGAATAAACTAATGTTAATAAAATATTGGTTATCAGGATATTAATGGAATTAATGAATGACAAATCTCCAGGACCTGTTGGTCTCCATCAGAGGCAGTTAAAAGAAATAGGAGAACACATTGTAGATGCCCTAAATGTAATCTTTCAGAGTTTCCTAGATATAGGAGTCATCTCTCTGGAATGTAAACATTGCACGTCACCCTACTTTATAAGATGGACAAAAGAAGAAAACTGGGTAATTATAGAACAGTTAGCCTAACATCCATGGTGGAGTCTATAATCAAGCAACGCCTCAACAATTTTCAGTTAATCAGGGAGAGCCAGCATGGATTCGTGATAAGGTCATGTCTGACTGTAGTGATTGTAATGAGGTCAGCCAGATTGATCTCATAGAATCATAGAGATATACAGCACGAAAACAGATCCTTCAGTCCAACTCATCCGTGCCAACCGCATATCCTAAATTAATCCAGTCCCATTTGCCAGCATGTGGCCCATAACCCTCTAAACACTTCTTATTCATATACACATCCAGGTGCCTTTTAGAAGTTGTAATTGTACCAGCTTCCACCACTTCCCTACAAAAAATAGACGTTTTGCTGCTCCCCTGCTGTGATCTCCCCATACAGGTTTCTCCAAGGTCATCTGTGAATTTTGCTGTTTGTGTCTTTTTCTTAGATGAACTCCGATGTCCAGAGGTACTTAAAATCAAACAGCAGAGGCAGTAGCTGTGAATGTTCACTGCTGGGTCAGACAGCAGTTTAGGTTTCTTTCTCCAGTTGATTCACTTCTCACCATGTGGTCACTTCCTTTGTCTTCCTCCTTTTTTAATTTTTTTTTGTTTTGATCTTTTTTTCCCCAAAGTTCTAAAACAATGCAACAGCTTACGAAACAATAATTACTGCTCCTAGGATTCGAGGAATCAGCTCCAACACTGAAAATATCTCAAAAAAGGAGCAGCTCTTATTGCCACAAATTTTTCCCATCCACTATCTTGGATTACCCCTGGAGAATAAGAATGCAGAAGGTATGTTGCAGTTATACAAAACCCCAGTATAGACACCACTTGGAATACTGCGAGCTGATCTGGGCCACTCTTAGGAAGGCTATATTGGCCTTGGAGGGAGTATAATGTAGCTTAACAAGAATGATACCTGTACTTCAGGGGTTAAGTTATGAGGAGAGATTATACAAATTGGGTCTGTGTCTGGAATTTAAAAGGTGAAGGGGAGATCTGATCAAAATCTAAGATATTAATAGGAAAGAGCAGGGTAGATAAAAATAAACTATTTCCACTGCTTGGGTGTTCTACAACTAGGAGATATTGTCTGAGAATTAGTGACAGACAATCCAAGAGAGATGTTAGGAAACACTTCCACACACAAAAGGTACTAGATGTTTGAAATTCTTTTCCACGAATGGCAATAGATGTTATATCAGTTGTAAATTTTAAATTTGAGATAGGTACAGTTTTGTTAAGCAAACAGATTAAGAGATATGGGCCAAAGGCAGATATATGGAGTAAAGCCACAGATCAGCCATGATCTCATCGATTGGCAGAAAGGCTCAAGGGACTGAATGACCTACTCCTGTTCCCATGTTCCTAAACCAAAAAGACAAAAAAGGCCCATTTTTTCTATAGCATGCATAAACAGATTTGTAAGTTCCTACAATAATATACACATACAGTAATCAAATGCAAAGGCTATAGGACTTGACAACATTACTGAAGACTTGTGCTCCAGAACTTGCTGTATCCCTCGCCAAGCTGTACAGCTACAATGCTGGCAACTATCCAACATGGTGGAAAATGCCTGTTATCATATACACAGAAAAGGCAAGAAAAATCCAACCAGGCCAATTACTGCCCCTTCAGTCTACTTTCAATCAGTAAAGTGATGGAAAGTGTCATCAATGCGTTATCAAGAAACACCAACTTAGCAATAACCTGCTCAAGGTCACTCAGTTTGGATTCCGGCCTCATCACAACCTTGTTCAAACATAGGCTAAAAAGCTTAATTCCAGAGGTGAAGGGAGAGTCACTGCCCTTGATATCAAGGATGCATTTGGCTGAAAATGGCTTCAAGGAACCCAAGCAAAACTGGAGCCAATGGGAATTTGGCAAAAATCTCCACTGGTTGGCATATGATTGTGGTTATTAGACGTCAGTCATCCCAGTTGTAGGACATCTCTGCAGCAGTTCGTCAGGTACAGTCAGCTGCTTCATCAATGACCTTTCCTCCATCATAAGGTCAAAAGTTGTGTTATTCACCGATTGTGCAATATTCAGCACTATTCACGACTCGAAGAAAAAAGATTGCGCTGGAGCATGACAACTCTTTGTGAGCTCTCCTAAGCAGATCGTCCTCTCACATCTTTTGTAATTGTTCTACTCTTTTAAATCTCAATTGTA